CTTTTTTCATTGCAACATAGGAAAGCGCCCTCTTTTTGTCATCTCTGCGACTTTCCAGATTTTGAATAGAACGATTGGTTTAGCTAAGACCTTCAAATCATGTTTGACCCTATGTGTTGATGAACCAATCCTTCTAAACTGTTTCCTCTGGATCTGAGCCCTTCAAAAGTCTCATTTGCATGCTTCATGAACCAGTCCAATTTTTCAGACTTTCCCGGAAGATCACAATCTGAAACAAGTTTCGAAAATAACCAAAAAGAAAATCCTGTAATCATACTGAGAGGAATCGAGATGGGTAAAAAATCATGCCTTGTCTTCTTAACTAACGAAAAACTTGTTTCGGATCGACTCGAGTAGTATGAAGCTATTGGATTGACAACCTTGGGAGTCTGAGCCACTCAATTCAATCCATGGCATAATCTTAGATGGTCTGGAATCATTACAATTAGATTTAAAAGGTTTCGAAAACACATGTTTAACTCACCTTAGCCTTCTGAACCAACCGCCCTTTATTCTCATCCTTCATGCCAATGGTAGATGTCAAAAGCTCTGTTTTATTGCACACAAACGAAGGCATTACTTCTCATCATGTCTGATCTCAGCTGAATGCACATGTTTCAAAAGTTCAAAGGAGAATATATCTTACTCTTCTCAGTAGCCAGACCATTATTCTTCAATATTTCAGAAATAGTGACAACCGTAGCAATTGCTGTGGTAAAGCCATACAAAACTTTTAATAGGTAAAATTTAAATATCATAATTTAACTGTTTCTCAAATACCTAAACTTCATAAGAAATGATCCAATTCATTTATTTAAATTTGTACTTGCCCCCTCAAGCATACAATCATTATATCAAATCATCATATCAAACTATATCACGGATGAGATCGATTTTTGACAGAAACGTAGCAGCAATCGGTATTTGAATACTAAACCTCTAACAAAGAATTAAATATATCACCCAAAGAATCAAAAAGCCTTGAAGCAGCAAAAGAAGAATTAGATTAGAGAACTCCAAGACAATACCAGAGATGCTGCTGAAGACATCCATTTCTAATCTTTAACTTAGAATTTCTCTAATTTTCTCGCCAATCAATTTCAAAAAAACTTACTGAACTGATGTCAAGTAAAATCAAAATATAAGTATTAAGTGAATGTAGTACCCATCCCCAAGGCAGAAAGCTCAACCTCATTGTGCTGCTGCATATACTTCTGCACCACAGAAACAACAAATCAAATGGGTAAAAGTTATCTGACTGGATTTGAAGATTATATTAACCATCACCTCATCTGGCACATATAACAATGTCCAACAAATGAAACATCTATATACATATATATACATATATATTTGAACATATATACATATATGTCCAAAGAGTGTAATATATATTGAAATGACATGATTTCCCAAGATATCATTCAAAGAGTGAATCTATTGTAATTTCACTCCTCCTTTTATATACAACAAACCACAAATCCATCTAATAACTCAGTCTCCAACAAATGCAATACATACATGAACATGCATACATATACATACACAGATATATATATATTAGCGTGTTTGAATACAAGGAGAAAGAATATCATCATTATAACCCATAAAACAAATAGAATGTATACTTCTGCAATCATAAAACTGAAAAATGGAACTGAATTGAAAAAGAACCAGACAAAAACATCAGTACTTTTACATGATTGACATAGAAGAAGAACGTAATATATATTGAAATGACATAATTCAGGACATAATTTAAAGAAAGAGTCAATCATAATTTCATTCCTCTTTTTATATAACAAAACAACTATACTACAACTAAACCAACACATCCATCAAACAATTCAGTCTTCAGGAAATGCAATACGTAGATGCACATATATTCATACATACATATATGTAAATATCTTAATGTGTTCGGACACAGGAAGATGGAATCTGATCATTATAACCTAGAGAATAAGTAGAATTTTATAATTTCGCAACCAAAAAATTAAATAATGGAACCGAATTGAAAAAAAGAACCAGATAAGAACATCATTACTTTTGCAAGATTGACATAGAAGAAGAGAGGTTTCTTGGTATTCGACACTTGAATTCTGTTCTTCTTCTGTGTCTCCGCATTCCCAGTCGGCGGTACTGCAGGTGCGGGTACCGGCGTAGGTGTTGCTGCCGCCTCGATCGTCATAATTTTTCTCTCAGTTTCTTGTTCGGGGGAACTTCCCTTTGGATTCTCTCTCAATTTTCTTTCGCTTTTCTCTCACTTACCCTCGGAAGCGGGAAAACGGGATTTTGGGATTAAATTTCTTGTTTGGTTGCTCGGAAAATCAGAGGAGACCGTTAATGATTTGGACTGGGGAGGTTTTATAAAGAAAGCGACTGATGGTGAGAAAATCAATGGGAAGAGAACAAGTGTTGGGTCCTTTCATGGTCGTTGACAGAGTACGACCGAAATATTTGCAGGTTTTCTTTTGGAATTTTGACGGAAATATATATATATATATATAAATTATTATTTTAATTCCCAATTAAAAATTAATTTAAAATTTTTTTTTATTTCTAAATTTACATAAATTTTTTAAAATATGATTTTTTTAATAAACCTCATCATTATAATAATAAAAAAATTTCCCATAATTTAAACAAAATTAATTAATTTTTTTGTTAATTAATAATTATTTTCATTAAATTTTTAAATTTATAATAAAACTATAAACTAAAATAATTTAATAAATTTAACTTTGAAATTAATTATAAATATTACCAAATATATAAATAATATTTCAATCTTTATCATTATAAAATAAATAACATGTTTACTAAAATATATATGGATCGTCTGTAATTATATATTTGAGATATATATATATATAATTAATTAAGCTATACATGTGTATATATATATATATATATACACACATATGGACAATAATATTTATATTTAATACTAAGAATTAAATACATATAGAAGTAAATCGGAGCATTTAATAAGAAATAAACGGGAAAATTAAAGAAAAAGTAAATCTAAATCACTAACAGTTTCCTCTAATTTTCCGGGCAACCAAACAGGAGATATCATCCCAAATCCCGTTTTCCCGCTACTGAGGGAAAGTGAGGGAGGAGAGCGAAAGAAAATTTTAGAGAGAATCAAAGAGGAAATCTCCTCCCCCCCCCCCCAACACCAACAACAGACTGAGAGAAAAATTATGACGATCGAGGCAACACCGACGGGGAATGCAGAGACAGAGAGGAGGAAAGAAATTCAAGTGTCGAAGAACAAGAAACCCCTCTTCTTCTATGTCAACATTGCAAAAGTACTGATGATTTTATCTGCTTCTTTTTCAATTCGCTTTCATTTTTCAGTTTTCTGATTGCGAAAGTAATACTTTCTATTTGTTTTACGGGTTATATGCGTATATATATATATAGGTAGATATGTACGTGTGTGTGTGTGTGTGTGTATATGTATATGTATACGTACATGTATGTGTGTGCATGTATGTATTGCATTTGTTGGAAGACTTAAGTTATTTGATGGAATTTGTGGTTTAATTGAACGTATAGCTGTTTGGTTATCTATAAAATGAGGAATGAAAATTATAATAGAATGATATATTTGGGAAATCATGTTACTTCAATATATATATATATATATATGTTACATTCTTTAGACATATATGTATGTATATACGTACATATATATTATATATATAGATGTTACGTTTGTTTATGTGGTGCAGGAGTATATGCAACAGCGCAATGAGGCTGAGCTTTCTACCTTCAGCAGCACCTACGGTATTATCTTGGAGTTCTCTAATCTAATTCTTCTTTTTAGTATTTTCTAAGTCTTTCGATTCTTTGTGTGATATATTCAATTCGTTTTTAAAAATTTAGTATTCAAATACCGAAACAAGAATAGAATATTTGGTCGTTAACTAATTATTGATTATTGTACTATACTATTATATATGTATGTGTGTATATATGAAGGTGGAAATAAAACCGAAAGTAGAGTAACGGATGCTTCTTTAGGAGTTAGGGCTGCACAAGTCGAAAGGAAAAGGAAGCTCGAGGAGGAAAGGAAAGCTGCTCGACTTGCATTAGACAAGGTTTGATTTTGTCTCATTGTTTTTATTCTTTTGTTAATTCAATTTCTTAGTACTATAGTTGGAAAAAAGTTTTGTTAATGTATTAATGTATTATTTTTTTTTTCAGATGGAAAATACGGATTGTTTGACGATAACATGTACATTATGCGAGAGTTTGAGAAACTTATCGGATTGAAACACGAAAATGTCAAGGAAGAAGAACAAATTGCTTCATGATATTAAGTTGTTCTGTGGATTCTAATTCGTATTCGGTGTCCTCTCTACGTACTACATTAAAAGGGTAAATTTTCTGATGATACTGGAGAGAAGTCGTTATAAACACATATCATGCTAGTGGAAAATTATTGTATTTTTCTTGCATTGAAAACTCAAATTCGAACTTATTCTCTCGCCAAAACAAAGAAAATCATTTATCATATTTGATGAAATCAAAATTAGTCGAATTACGTTGAATCTATATAATCACATGCTTAATCCTACCATTTCAACCAAAACAAATTTTTAGTTTATATAAAAACTTAATTTTGATTTTTTTTTTAAAAAAAAATTGTTTATAAATTTAAACTTAATTTAATTAAAGATAATGTAAAATCTATTAAAAATTAAATAATTTGATTTTACAAAATTTCATGTTTAATTAGGACAATAAATTCTAAATCCATAAAAAAGTTATAAAATTAGAAATTTATTCATACATAAAATTTCATATAAAATTCCATATGATTTAAATTTTTTATTATTTATAAAAAATTTCAAAATTTTAATTTAAAATAAGTCTGAATGAGTAAATACATTTTAAAAAATATATATATTAAATTTATTTTTAAAAAAATACCCCAAAAAATACTATTGACAAGCAGAAACAATTGTAAGAGAGCCTTCTTTATCTCTTCCCCACCCTCATCCTTTTTGGTAATTTGAAGTATAGCAAAGAAGAGCATGAAATTCTCAAAAATAAGGATTTATTTGGTAAAATTTAATTATTTTGTAGTTTATATTTTTTAATTGTTGGAAAAATAAATTCCTAAATCGGGAATAATCACAAAAAAAATAAAATTAGATACAAAAAAATATATATATATAATTTTAACGTAGTTCGATAATGTGTCTATATTTACAGATAAAACCGATAAGAAAATTTTCTACTATGATCAATTAAGAGTACATCAATACTAATTTAATAGATTTAAGAGTTTTTCATCAGGGCATCAGAATTTCAAAACTATTGACAGTATAATTATTAGGTTCCTTCATTTGAAAGAATGATTGAAAACCATTAAAGATGTATTTGATGAATTTAGTAGGTATGAGGAGGCTCATTTCTATGTTTTTTCGAACATAATCATTGTCAGTAATTGATTTTGATTGTCCATATCTCTCTTAGATAAAGATGGTAATGGAATTATCGACTGTGAGGTAATCAAGAAATGGTTAGAGAAACTACTACTTTATCTTACAGAGGAAGAGGTTAAGGTTTTTTTTTTATTCTTGTTACTTTGATGTTTTCCTATGTCTCATCCACCTACCGAAACCTTCCTTATCTTCTTAAGCACTATGAACTCAATTTTGATTCTGTTTCTTTATCTAAGAGCGTAACACAACCTCAAGCAAAGAATTGATTTTCATTGAATTTGATGATCAAGACATAGGTTCAGCAGAGCTTGAGGTAACTTTTGACACCATAGTCAATGCATTCTTGTTTTCAGACAAGAAAGGAGATGGAAATTTAAACAAAAAGGACATGATCAAGGCATTGAAATAGGCGTGCCCTTAGGAGAAATCTCATCTACATGTCACTGAGTCAAGATTTAGTATTATCTACTTCACTAGTTATTAATCTTGTAGTAATTCTTGTGGTAAATGCAGACGAAATGGACTGGGATAAGAAAGGGAATGTCAATTTTAGGGGATTTGACAGTAATAAAAAGGTCGTCGAAATGGAAAATGAAGATCAGGAGAGCATATAAATGAATTGAAACGGTCTAAATTAAGGTCACCCTGTAATATCCCGAACCTCAATGTCGGTGAGTACGGACGTTAACACAACACTTCCAACTAGTGGAACAGATAAATATTAAATATACAGTGGAATTATATTTTAATACACATCCTTTATGATAGGTTAATTATAATTAAGACATCTAAATTAGTTTATAAATCTAAAATAGAAATTAACAAGATTTTCTTTGCCATCTTCTATTGATATTGGACTTGTTTCTCATATCCTCTCACCTGAATGGGGTATATTGGAGTGAGTTTCACGAGTTCAGTAAGAAAAAATATTATATAACGGAGAGTTATGTACATACATTCATACAATATATAAAATATAATAATTTTTTATCATCAAAGAAAATATCAAATAAGCATCACAATCAAAATACACAACAAAATGAATCATCACACAAAACATATTATAATCTTCACTCTTATAACCTAATTTTTGTTCTCCTCTCAAATCACACTTATGGATTCACAAATTTCTCAAACCAAAACAGGTTTACTCATACACATATATTACTCCACTCGAATTTATAATTTTACATTATTTAGTCTTTTAAAGCTTAATTAGGTTACCATCGCGCGATGCCCGTTATATCGTTATCGAGGATATGCGAAATGGATCCCTCAATCGCATGGATAGCACACACAGAATATCTCACATTGGTCACAGTAGTTATGTTTGCTAGATGACCTACGCTCACAAATACTTATTCACGTCTAGATTAGGTTTCAAACTCTATCCATGTGTAGGTTCACCATACCTGCTGAACTTCAGCCACACACGCACCCTTCCCTCCTCGATTTATGACTAACAAATTAAGTGTCTTATTTACTCTTTACAGTTTCGTATGATTGTCTTCCTAGTGGCTTATTCAATATATTTCTCTAACTAACTTACATTTCTCAATTTCTTTGATATTTGTTTTTCAGATTTATTTAACTTATTTAGTTTCTTATTTAAAAATCTAAAATTTATATTAATTTAAAATTCTAACTTCTACACACAAATAAATTCAAACATACACACAATATACGACATCATCACGCACATTAAAACTATACATTTTAAAATACTTTCTGAATTATTTTATACCAAATCACACAACAAGCATAAGATATTCAGATTTCTCGTACAACTGTACCAGATCACACAGCTACTGCAATGTACTCAAATTTCACACATATACACATTGGTTATACATTTCACATGCATAACATATGTACACACATTTTAATATACACATATATATTATAATATAGACATGTACCATTACTAGATGTCTAACACATAATATATATTTATATTCACACACACAATTTCTACCGATATATACACACACGTTCATACTTAAATATATATATATACAATCACACACACAATACCATATATATATATTCACACATTTGTTCTTATCAGCTCTGTTCTTATCAATTCATAATTTATTTATCGTATATTTTTATATACATACACACACATGCATAATAACGTGTATATATATGCTATATAAATACAAACAAATATAAATTAGACATACTAATTACATATATTATATTACACATATATTGAAATATTCACCCACAATGTACTATATATATACGTATTTACATAAACATATAATTTATATTTCCGTACGGAATACACATAATTCTTACCTATAGTGTGATTAAGAAAGTTTTGGGAATCCTTTCTACTTCAATCTACAATCTTCTCAAAAATCTGAATATCATTTGGGTAGTTTTTCTCATTTATAATAGAAAACACATATATTAAATTATGAATAATTTTGAAAATTATATTACGCGAAACGAGTAACGAATTTTACCTTAAGACACACAGTCCCGGTCGCCAATATCACCCCGCACTATCACACACGTCATAGAAAATGTCAGGTGTTGATGATCGAATCAGTGAGCGTTGTCGCATGCGGTGCGAAACATCATATATGATGGCCACCTTTCCATTTTTCTTCTTTAATTTTTTTTCTTTTCTTTCATTTTTTATTTTTTTTCTTTTTTTCTTTTTTCTTTTTTTTCTTCTTTTTTCTCTTTTTTCTTCTTCTCTCTCTTTCTTTATTTTTCTTTCTTCTTATTTTTCTTCCTTTTTTCTTTCTTCTTCTCTCTCTCTCTCCCTCTTTCTCTCTCTTCTTCTCCTTCTTCTCTTCCCCTCTTTTTTACCTGATTCATTAGAAAAATTTAGCTGGACAGATGGATGCATTGTTACCACTCAATGTTTAGAGACAGAATTTTAAAAGGATTCTGTGAAAATAAACCAGGCAGTTCACCGATGAAGGTAATCAAAATTGTATTTTTTGGTCTCCCACATCGGAAGGTTTCAACTAAGAGGCCCTCTATGCAGTTTATAAATAGAGTCTATGTGACCCTGTTCATCTTTTGCAAGTTTAAAGTATATTTAAATGAAATATTTAAAATCATATAAAAAATTTAAAATTTTGAAATTATATTTAAATGGGATATTTAAAATCATATTAAATATTTAAAATATTTAAATATATACAAGAATATTAGCATTTTGTTTTTCTTTTTAATTATTATTATATAAACGAACTACTTGATTATTACCCGTAACAGAATAACGGCTAACAGAATGACAGTTTCGCCGCCACTACCACCTTCTCCTTCTGCCAGTCTGTTCCTCATATATTCTTCTTCTTTTTCATTCTTTCAAATCCTCACCACTCTGTTCCTCATTTTTGCTCTCGTCACACGCATTTTGCAGACTCCTGGACGGGTAAGATTTCTCTCTTTTCAATCTTCATTTCACTTTTAAGCTATATATATACACTCGCACATACATGTATCTCTCTTCATTTTCTGGATCAACTAGAGAACTGGTTTCGTAGTGTTAAGCTAAGAATATGGAAGAAATAATATGAACAAATATACACTCACGTACATATATTGATATGGAAGAAATAGTATTAACTAATGTAGTCTGTGCTTTTATCTATATGTAAACAATCGCAACCAGATATTGTGAGTTATCCATTTAAGGCTCAAGGAATTGTGAATAACTTAAGCATAGAACTGTACAACAGCAACATTGTGAAACAATATATTCAAGGTAAATATACACAATATGTATTAGGCTGACCTTAATTTAAACTGTTCAGTTCACTTCTATGCTCTCCCGATCTTGATTTTCCATTTCAA